ATGGCAAGCAAAAGCTTAATGCACATTGCCACCAGTCATCACAGTTAGGGAATGAATATAGGCCTGGAAAACCAATGAGTAGCTAAAGGGGTAAGAATGAATAAAGTATCTCAAAGCATGTTATTCATGGTTGTCATGGGAGATCAGTGTAAAATTTATTGTTATTGTATATATACACCCACACACTCACACTCAAAAAACCCTACCTCTGATTATACATAATATCAGATAAGTACTTTAGGATTTGAGTTCTACCTCTCACATTAGCAGCAGCTCAAAAAAGACAACTGCGTACTGATTGCCAATGAATTGCAGAGTTTGCAGCAGAGTCCAAACCAGAACCCACGTATTCTGACTCGGATCCAAACATGTTCTCACTACAATGCTTTATATCTAACTAAATGCCAACATTCTCATCTCTAGCTCTTTAATCTCGGGCTTAAGAACATTCCCTGCTCTGCACTGGCCTCTTGGATAGAATACCATTACCTCAAACAGGTATACAATTGTACTTCCTATTTCCTTCCCTTCATATCCTACATTTCTGCTAATCACACTGGTTTGCTCCTAAAAAAAAAAAAAAAACAAAACTGTCAATCTACCCAGCAGTCTCTAAATGCTACTGATTTGGTCGTGAAACTTCTCTACCAGTTTATTCACTCTGGAAATGTTATAAAAAAAACAAAAGTTAGTGTCCCAAGTTGTATCAGGCTGAAGTTGGAGTTCAGGTGATACAGATGACAACCTTTGTCATCTTCAATCCACTTCCCTAATTCAGCCCAGGGTTGTGATTAAGAGCAAGAACTCTAAAAAGTCAATTGGCCTGGATTAGCTTCACTACTCTGCTATTACTAGCCTGACCACTAATTAGCTGTGTGAGGTTGGGCAAGCTTCTTCACCTCTCTGGGCCTGTTTCCTCTAACCTGCCTCACATGACTATTATGGTTAGACCAATATCTGGCACCGATTAAACACTGTTATTTATAGTTGTTACTCAGCAAATGATTGTCCAGGTAGGGATGGAGAGGAGAAATAACAATATCTGTGGGAAAGTTTCTAAAAGACCCTCTTTCTAGACCACTAATTGGGAACTACTCTTCTAGGCTGGGGACTCAAATCCCCTACTATTGGACAAGTCATCTTCAGATTCAATCCATTAAAGACAAATATTACTGCTGAAAAATGTTTCCTGCAGAAATTTTTATTGGCCCACACAAACTGTAGGCCTCTTTTTAATATAAAGAGCTTGTTTGTGGCTATGTTTTATATTCAGACTACTTTAAAATTCATATTGCAGTACCTACACAGCCTCTAAAGACATCCGAAATTTCTACCATAGTCAAAATCCTCAGGATCCACTTTTAATACAGTTCTTACCCACAAGAACTATAAGATCCCCAAGGCCTTATAAGCCAGGTTCCACATAAAGCTACGCCTTTAATCTTTTCATGGGGGAGGGAGGGGCACACCAGAACCTCAATACTATGGGAATATTTCAGTCTTGTTCTAAGACCATGAACTTGTCTCATGTGCCACAAATCAAAAATAACTGCATGAAACATAAGAATCCATATTCTGACTTCCAGTCTATAAAACAAGAATATTATTTTGTTTCTGCTACTAGACTCCAAGGAGAAAAACCAACTGCAAAGTTACCAAAAATAGCTTTTCTCTTTTAAATAAAAACAGAATCAGTGACAATGACTGGTTACATCATCTTGAAATGCAATTATTTTGTATTCAGTTTTCTACTGGGAAATGAGTGTGTAGCTAGTAGTATTTCTAGGCATGATGCAATCCTAAGCTTGCTTTTTTTTTTTTAAGAATGTATTTATTGGAAAGGCAAATCCATAGAGAAGGAAAGCGATAAACATCTTCCATCCTCTGGTTCACTTCCCAAATGGCCACAACGGTCACAGCTAAGCTGATCTGCAGCCAGGAGCCAGTCACTTCTTCTGGGTCTCACACGCAGACACAGGGTCCCAAGGTTTTGGGCTGTCCTTCACTGCTTTCCCAGGCCACAACCGGGAGATGGATGGGAAGTAGAGCAGCCAGGACACAAACCTCTGACCATAAGGAAGGCCAGCACTTGGAGGTGGAGGATTAGGCAGTTGAGCTAACATGTCAGCCTCATACATGTGCAAACATTCTAAAATTTGGGGGAAAAAATCCCATTCTCAAACAATTCTGACCTAAGCAATTTAGATACAGGGCAGTCATCAGCAGCACCTCAAGCCAGATGCCACAGATACCTTAAAAGCTCCAGTCCAAAGTGGCTAGCACAGATGTTTTCGATTATAGCCTCCCATGGGGCTCAGGGTAACTATCACGAGTCACTGGCTTTCCCTTCTTCAATAAAGATCTGAACTAAGAACTCTGAAGACTAAATTTCGAGTACTGGCTCTCACAGGATCCAAACGGAATGTGAGGAGAGATGACTAACGGGAAAACTTGCAAGCACTAGAGAAGAGATCTAGCCTAGCAGTTAGTGACTGCAAAATCTCTGTGGTTCCCAGAAAATCATTTAATCAAGCTGATACCAAACTGGGTGTACCTAGGGCAGAGTGAGGACCCTGTATACCAAGGTACCTGTTTTCTCTTGCTTTGCAACCATCTTTTATAACGTATAACATGTCATGTCTGTTATATTTTATAATTTTTTTTTTAAAAGAAAACAGCTGGGAGATTTCAATCATATCAATTAGGCTTTCTTTCAGAAACAAGGTGGGACCAGCGTTGTGCTGTATCAGATTAACTGGGGACCTACAGTGCCAGCATGCCATATGGCACCGGCTGGAGTCCTGGCTGCTCCACTTCCCACCCTGGTCCTTTCTAAGGTGCCTGGGAAAGCATGGAGAGTGGACTAAGTCCTTGGGCTCCTGCAGTCACACGGAAGTTCCCCGCTCCTGGCTTTGGCCTGACCTGGCTGGCCCAAGCCATTGCTGCCATTTGGGGAATGAATCAGCGGACAGAAGACCTCTCTATTGTCTCTCCCTCTTCCTAACTCAGCCTTTCAAATAAATCTTTCTTAAAATACACGAAAGAAGGCAAAATGTTAATGTATGTTAAATATGGGTTGCAGGCATAAGGGACCACTAACATTTTGCATGTTTGCAAGTGTCCATATTATTCTGGACTGAAAAAAAAAAATGGCAGCAGGACTGTACTTTGCCTAGTGGTTAAGACATCCCAAGACACAGATACCTCATACCAGAGCGCCTAGGTTTGATATCCAGTTCTGCCCTGACTGCAACCTCCTGCTGCTTGTGGCAGGAAGCAGATCTGGCAGTAGTATCGGAGTTCCCGCCAACCACACAAAGACTGGATTAAGTACCTAGATCCTGGATTTAGCTCCAAAAGGGAGTGGCAGCCATTTGCAGAATGAGCCATTGGGGGATGGGGGGCTCCCTTTATGTCTATCTCTCACACTTGATCTTAGTTTATTCTGTGATTAATCCCATCTAAAAAGATAAGGCTTATAGTGCTAACCTTATCAAGCTCCCAGGCTTAATTGTTTGTGATGTGGGGAGAATTATTGATAAAATTTACGCCTGCTACTCATCTACTAGATTTTAAATTACCAATTTACCCCCCCTTTTTTTTTGCTTCCTGTTATTTCATTGACACAGAAAGCACACACTCTGAACTAGATGCAAATTTTGAAATTTTTCTGCTATGAAAGAATGTCTGCTTTCCTTCTGGCAGTGATTAAGGGTTTTTTAGAATCAGAAATGATTTGATCCTGACTCTTTAGAACATTCATGGGCAAAGCTAATATCTCTGGTCTCAACTGAAAATCAGGAATATCTAGAATAAAATAGGTATCAAATTATGTAAAGATGAGTAATTACCAGAACCAATAATGACTTATTTAGGAAGAAATCTGCAGATGCAGAAACTGAATTCTGTTCAAGTTTTCAAAGGTTTGGCCCCACAGCTTCAGCAAGGAGCGCCTTATGACTCACGGCTTAGGGTAATGATTATTCTAAGTCCCTCGGATGGGGGAGGGGGGAAGACCGCCTACGCAAATACCCGGGAATGCAAAATAAAAACTAATGGACACACATCACAGTTCACTAGTTTTATTATCTTCGGATCAGTATTTTCAAGGAGGTTAAAAAAAAAAAAAGGGACCAGCGCAAGAGAAAAAAAGGGGAAAACAGGAATGTTGATATTACAAAACTCTAGGAAATTCAGAGCACAGACTGAGAGCTCCATAAATTGCAACTGAATTGACTTTAACCGAGAGCTGTTTGAGTTTCACACTTCAGTGCTCAAACCGCAGGGATCACAACGCGACTTAGCGGTTCACAGCTGTGCTGCGGGTCCCATCTGAGGATCCAGAAATGACTTCATGCAAAACAACTACAACCCCGTAAACCAGGCACTCTCCACCATTTTGGAATCTAGATCTTGCCTTATTTACACCAATCTGAGATACGAACGAAATGGTAAATACCCACTGAGCAAACAGAACCCAAATGTGTAATCTGGAAAGCCACGAGTCAACGGAAGCTGAAACCACCTCACGTTTCCGCTGGCCAAGGAGTTCCTGGAAGCTGCCAAACTTTTCCTCATCAACAGCAAAGCTGATGCTCGCCTTGGCAAGGTGGTCATTCACTCGTTAGCGAGGGATGAGTGGATGGGGTCCCGAATCTGAGCACCCCTCCAAAAAATCACTAAACGTTCCCTTCCGAAACCAAGACCCCTGGGCCTCCCCCACTTCCCCTCAACCTTCGGGCTGGAGCTGACGCCCCACTCCACTGGCCGCCAGGCACGGCTCGCTCAGGGCTCTCACGAACCCCCACACCCGAGCCGCAAAACCGAGGCTGCGGAGGTCCCCAAGCGGACAATCCACCCACAGCCCGGCTCCCGCCTCGCGTCCCGAGAGCGCAGACCCACAACGAGCAGCTGATGGGGGGGCTGCCGCCGGCAAGTTCAGAACTTGGAGACTGGGGTGTCCCCTCCCCACCCACAGATGCGCCCCAACTGCGACTTACCGGCACATTGTTAACTCCCTGTCCCTTGGACGCTATCAGGAGAATTTCTCTGAAGTCCATGTTCGGCCGAGGCAGAGACCGTGGACCAGGCCCTCGGGAAGGAGCAGTAGCTCACCTTCCAGAGTGGCCCAGCTGCTGCCGAGCCTCGGCAGCTCCTCTCGCACCCCTGCTCGGACACAGCACTTCCGGCGACTGACGATGCGGTCTGCCCTCCCCACCTCCTCGCAGCGGCCTATATAGTCGCAGGGCTGCCGCAAAGCTCGCGAGTCTGGGCGTAACTTCCGAGACACGTAGGAGCGCGCTACGTGGCCATGACGTCATCTCGGAGGGCGGGACTCCGCCGGCCCGCCCTAAGGCGCGGCCCGGCCGCTGTGGGTGCGGCCTGAGGAGGCTGCCTGGCCCCCTGGGCGGGCGTTCCCGGGGCGGCTGGGTGGGGAGGGCTGGTGTGGGTGGGGCTACCTGCTGGGCTAGCCTTTCCGTGAGCACAGGTGGAAGCTGATCACATCCGAAAAGGACGGACAGCTCGCGAGGCAGATTCCGTTAGCGGTTCTGGCGTTCGCGACGTTGCCATAGCGACGAGCCACCTGTTCTGAACTCCTGCAAAGATGCACGGTGCCGCCCGTTTAGACGGCAGCCTCCACTTGGAGGACTTGTGCCTTCGCTCGGGATGAAGGAGGGAAACCAGACATAACGTGAGCATATATGGTTCACGTTCGTATTCATTTCGAGCCTAGTCTTGGCTTCCATGTCAGAGTTGCCTGGGGTATTTAGGGTCATTTTAATTCAACAGACCTGGTCTGAGTGTGGGGACAGGCCTGGGATTAATGGCAAGTTGGTCGTAGGGGTTTTATTCGGTGTGGTGGAAATGTTCCTAGAGTGCGGGTTATGATTGCGTTATATATTTACTATAACCCATTGCACACTGGAAGCAGGTGACTTTCACAATATGTAAATTACATTGATAAAGCTGCTTAAAACCAATCATACTATACTATTGTACTAATACAGGGGAAGTCAGGGGGCGAAAGATATTGGGAAGAGTGAGAGAGAAAATCCCATAGCCTATGGAACTATCATAAAAAGTTAAAAAAAAAGGAAATATATTTCAGAAAATATTCAAATATTCTCTATAAAACGTCAATATTAAAATGTTTATTCAAAAATAAAAACACTAGGCAAAGCTGCTGGGTCTTTTATTTCAGTTGATGTTTATTATTTATTTTTAAAGATTTTTAATTTTTATTGGAAAGGCATATATACAGAGAGAAGGAGAGACAGAGAGGAAGATCTTCCATCCGATGATTCACTCCCCAAGTGATGCAATGGCCGGTGCTGTGCCGATCCTAAGCCAGGAGCCTGGAGCTTCTTTTTTTTTTTTTTTCATCATTCTGCTATTTTATTTTATTTAAAATTTATTTTATTAATTGCATTACATTATGTGACACAGTGTTATGGGCACTGGGATTCTCCCCACCGCTTCCCGAACCCTCTCCCTGTGGTGGATTTTTCCACCTTGCTGTGTTACCACAGTTCAAATTCAGTTGAGGTTCTTTCATTGGAAGTATTTACCAAGCATAAAGTCCAGTGTCCTATTATCCTAGTGGTTCAACGATTTCTTGGTGAGACCATCTCTGGTCTGAAGGTAAAGTCAGCAAAGCATCATCCCAATCAATCAAAGGCCCCGACATAACATCAACAGCCATTTACAACCTTATGGCATTAATTGACATGGTATTGATTAATAGTATGTTGATGAGGAAAATGCAGTTTCTTAACTACATCCTGTGACTTCTTCATAGACATTTCAATTTTGGTTTGTATTCAACCTGATTCCATACAGTTATCAGTTTAGGTACAGTACATTTTTGGGGGGATGGGTGTGCAGAGAAATCCTCAATACCCCAGTGAGGCGTAACTAATCTTTGTGTCCCACCTAGTGAGACATGTTTGGGTCCACGCTGGCCATTTCCTGTCTGATTCTAAGCTTTCCATGTTGTTGTCTGTCCATTCTAGATTTTTTTGTTTGTTTGTATGTTTGTTTGTTTGTTTTGAGGGGTTACTGGCGCGATCCTAATGGTCACCGCGAGGGAGGGTGGGGACCCAAAGCCAGAGCCAGGCAAGGACCAGAGAGAGCTCGCCTCCCTATTCCCGAAGTAAGTTTATTATTCTTCTGTTTCTGCAGATTGCTCAGGGCTCCTAGCCATCGTTCCGATGGCGCTGGTTTCTGCCCTGCAGAGTTTGGACTTCTTCCATCCCCTGTGGAGCCTGGAGCTTCTTCCAGGTCTCCCATGCAGGCCCTAAAGCTTTGGGGCTGTCCTCAACTGCTTTCCCAGGCCACAAGCAAGGAGTTGGATGGGAAGCGGGGCCAAAGGGATTAGAACCAGCACCCATATGGGATCCTGGCGCATTCAAGGCGAGGACTTTAACTGTTACGCTACAGCACTAAGTCCTATTTATTTTTTAAAAAGATTTTTAGGGCCCGGCGACATGGCCTAGTGGCTAAAGTCCCCTCCTTGAGCACCCCAGGATCCCATATGGGCACCGGTTCTAATCCTAGCAGCTCCACTTCCCATCCAGCTCCCTGCTTGTGGCCTGGGAAAGCAGTCGAGGACAGCCCAAAGCCTTGGGACCCTGCACCCACGTGTGGGAGACCTGGAGGAAGTTCCTAGTTCCTGGCTTCGGATCAGCGCAGCACCAACCGTTGTGCTCACTTTGGTAGTGAATCATCGGATGGAAGATCTTTCTGTCTCTCCTCCTCTCTGTATATCTGACTTTGTAATAAAAATAAATAAATCTTTTTAAAAAAACACTTTTAAATTTTATTTATTTGCATTGTCAGATATAGAGAAAGGAGAGGAGACAGATCTTTTATCTGTTGATTCACTCCCCAGGCGGCTGCAATGGCTGAAGCTGAGCTGAGCTGAAGCCAGGAGCCAGGAGCCAGGAGCCTCTTTTGGGTGTGCCTTATAAAAGCTATTTATGTGCAGGTCAGAGTTACAGAGAGAAAGGAAGCAGATATTTTTCACCCACTGGTTTACTCCGCAAATGCTGGCAAGGCCAAAGCCAACAGCCCTGATTGGGTAGCAGGGGCCCAAACACTTGTGCCATGGTCCCCTTCTTTTCTCAGCTGCATCAGCAGGGAGCTGGATTGGAAATGAAGCAGCTGGGATAAGAGCCCATAGAGCACCCCTATGGTGTCACAGTGGTGGTTTATCCACTATGCCATAACTCTGGTCCATCAGTTGACAAGTTGATGCCAATTTGGAATCTCCCCATTTGTCTGCACCCACAATGTCATGATACACTTAAATAGCAAAGATGGACTTGTGACTGTTGCTGAAGGACTATATCACAGAAATAATATGTGGGAAAACAGTGAAGAGGAGGGAGAATGGGAGGGTGAAGGGGAAATCCCTGAGACTATGAAACTGTATCATGAAAAATTAAAAAAAAAAAGACTGTCTTAAGACAGAATTAAAATTAACCTTATTGTCCCCTAAGGAATTTAGCAAATGCTACTACAATCCACCTGTGCAATATTTACCTTTTCAATACACATCTACCTATTTTAGGCAATTCTCATTTGCTGGAGTCCAGCCCTACTGTAAATTACTTAGAGACTTACGCAAGACCTAATAAATTACTAAGCATAACCGTGGGGATTACGGGCAGATTAAGCCTCTCCCGGCCCCACCAGCATCCCATCTGGCTGCTTCACTTCTATCTAGCTCATGCTAAAACATCTGGGAAGGCAACAGAGGATAGCCCAAGGCTTTGGCTACCTTCACTCGTCAGAGACCAGAAGAAGCCCCTAGCTCCTGGCTTTGGTCTGGCCCAGCCCCAGCTGTTGCAACCATTTGGGGAATGAACCAGCAAACTGAAAACTCTTTCTCCTCCCTCCCTTTAACTCTGCCTAACAAATCTTAGAAAAGAAAAAAAAAAAAAATGCCAAGTGTCCAGTTTTTCCTCCATAAAAATGTGAAATGGTGGGCCCGGCGCAATGGCCTAGCGGCTAAAGTCCTCACCTTGAACACCCCAGGATCCCATATGGGCGCCGGTTCTAATCCCAGCAGCTCCACTTCCCATCCAGCTCCCTGCTTGTGGCCTGGGAAAGCAGTCGAGGACGGCCCAAAGCCTTGGGACCCTGCACCCGTGTGGGAGACCCGGAAGAAGTTCCTGGTTCCCAACTTAGGATCGGCACAGCACCAGCCATTGCGTTCATTTGAGGAGTGAATCATTGGATGGAAGATCTTACCCTCTGTCTCTCCTCCTCTCTGTATATCTGATTTTGTAATAAAAAATAAGTAAATCTTTAAAAAATAGAAAGAAAGAAAAAAATGTTCCACCTGACTCAGAAGGTTTTTGTTTTTTGTTTTTAACCATTCCCATGCTGACTCCCTTTAGAATGATGAACAATTTCCCACAGTTCTTGGGAGACAGACCAAAAGCCTAATTTGAACCCTAACCTGAAAGGATTGCCATGAATTGCCATGGCCTCACTCCTCCAACATCATCAGCTCAACCCTTTGATTTCCTAGAATGTGTCCAGTTTCCTTCCACTCCTGGGCCTTTCTATAGCCTCCCTCTGCCTTGCGAGTGCCCCTCTAATCCAATCGCTAATCCAAATCCGGTTCATTTTTTAGTGCCCCATACATCCTTGGTGGGTGATGATCTGAGTTCAAGGTTCAACTCTGTTGATTCCTTAGGGATAGTATGATCATAAGCAGGCATTTAACCGTTCTGTAGATTGGTTCTTTCACTCATGAAAGTAAACTAGCATTGATAGGATTGCTGTGAAATACTGTTTGCAAGGAGTTCAGATTAGTATCTTGCAGTTTAATAAGTATCTCCTCAAAATTCATAGGTTGAATGACCTAGCCCCCAATACTTTAAGATATGAGATTTGTCATTTCAAATGATTAAGTTTAAATGAGGTCATTGGGCTGGGTCCCTAAAGCGGTGCTTGTTGGAATACATCCAACAGGGTAGCTGGGACAGCGGAGGCCTGTAGGACCCTGTTGAAAAGAGGCTCCAGGAAAGAGGAGACGGAGGGTCTCTCACCCAGAGTGCAATCTTGCCCCCATGAGTCCTTGGATGAGCTTCCGTGCTTCTCTGATATATGACGAGCATCTGTGCTTAGCCTAGATCCTAGATCAAAGTAGTATTCCTTATCAATATCTCACACCAATGGTGCTTTGATCCAGGTGCCTT